CCTATGTTCTTTCATCCATAGACGATGATGGAGCTTTGCGGATCTCTTCAATCGGCTGAAAGACAGGAGCTCTTTCTCAAACAGGTATCGATATCTGTCCAGCTTGTCTATGAAGGTGGAGGATGTCATGATCTCTGATTTGGTCATCACGAAAAGCTTGTGCCTGATTTCTCTCAGCTTCCCTTTCAAGCATCTTCTTTCTTCTTTGATCTTCAGTAAGGAGGGGGCAGGTTCTCTCATCATGGGAAATATATTTGCAGGTGAGACACCATCTGTTAAGCCTCTCATACTTCATTTCCACCTTTACTACTTCCCCAGAATTTAGTCTAGATCTGGCAGTGAACTTTAGAGGTTCATCAGCATGATCGAGACTTGTACCCGAGCTGCTCTAGCATCTACAGCCTTCACCTCTCCCAATCTTTTACCGATAGCCCTAAAGTCTCCTCCATTCAAAAGTGTGTTGGGACACCCGAAATTCTGACCCAGAAGATCATGTTGCTCGGGAAAGTTTCTCCTACATGAGGGATCCAGCGCTCGAGAGAAAAAGACCATTTGTTAAAATGGCAAGGCCTTTTGTTGAGTACCTTCTGCAGATCTGCTTCAGAATCAAAGTCAAACTGAAATCTGGAGTTCCCCAGATCTATGCCATGAACCCTGCCTTCAACATCCCAGATATTTGGCCTAGGCATGAAGGCTATCAAAGCATTGGTACTCCTGATATCTTGGTTGAACATTCTTCCGACCAAACTTCTGTTGAATCTGGCGATAAGGTGAAAGTTATCAACATGAGGAAATCAATGATATCATCTTCATCTTCTTCCAGGTAGCTGTTCTTCCTTTGACTTCTCCTTTTTTGAAAACCGGTCCAGAAGGTATGTTAACGTCGAAGAGAAGTAAGACTTTTAAGAGACAAAGTTCAGTTAACACTTAGCACAGAGCTAGATGAGAAATAACACCAATCTTGATCTTTCTGGAAGCAAGGTTCTTTAGAGAGTAGTGACAGATGATTTTCCATTCGTGGCGGTCGAACGGTGATGCAACCTTGGACGGGAAGATATGAGCTCGGTTTGGAATTTCTTCCCAACAGGGAGAATCTTTAGTCTTGGTCAAAAACGAGCTGAGAGGGTCATGTGGTAAGAGCAAAATGGTCGAGACGGAAGTAGAAATCCACATTGGTAGGTCTGAGCTTTGTCTTGTAGAATAAACCAGGCTTAGCATTAAGCTAGAGTTCAGAGGAAGAGATTATGGAAGTAGCTTGCCGTGAGATAAGAGGTGTTGGACTTAAAGAAACCCAGCTTAGCACAGAGCTAGAAGGTTGAAAGAGGTCTGGATGGGAGTGAACAAAGAGCCAGTAACCAAGGGAGTACTCGTCAAAGAGGGTAAGAGCATTCTGGTGGGGAAAGCATGAGGAGGCATGGTGGTTTCTGGTGAAGCTTTGGGGACTTCAGGGAGGAGTTAGTTATTTTAGGTAAAAAGAAAGGGTTTTAATTTGTAAAAAGTAGATCTGAAACATTTTTGGGAATTTTTGGGTAATGTGTCTCGGAAAAACTTTTTCGGTCACCAAACCATTTGTTTATGACATCATATAGGTGTTGTGATGATGGTGAAAATACATCCATTAGATTCTAATTTCTAAACTAACATGTCAGAATGAATAAGAATTTAAATAAACAATTTTAAGTTATTCCCTTTATACCATTTTTTGAATGGATAAAAAACCAAAAATCTTTTGAAATTTTATCCCATTTCTTAAACATAAAAGAATAAGTGAAAATTATACTTATTTTATTAAATTGAGATAGTTTCTTATGTATTTTTTTGTTTTTTTTTATATAAATATGTATCATTTTGTTATCAAATTTTTTTAATAAAAATATTTATATCATTTGGAAATCTGTTGAAAATATTTTTGGTGGGAATAAGTGAATCTATCAAACGTTTTCCAGCAATTTTCATTTGGAGATTCGTCAGAAAAAAGTGACTACGTTTTCCGAGGAAAATTTCAGACCAATATTTGGTTCTTGAATATCTGTCGGGCATTTTGTCAATCTGTTGAGGAATACATTTTTGATAGATTGCTATATCTGAGGAGATAGTCACGACAACCCAAATCAGTTCAGAATATCAATTTATGACAGTAACGAGTGTATGTAGTAGCGTATTTTCTTGATTTTATCCTCACTACAAAGGATAGCTTGTGTTGCATAAATGTTTTTATTTCATTCTTCCTTTGGTGTTGTTTATCTTCTCTTTTTAAATTGGCAACCCATCGAATAAAACAGATACACATAATCCGAAAATCTGTTTCAAAAAGTTCGTAATTTTTTTTTAACAAAAAACATGACGTGAACCTTCGTTGAAAACCCATTACTTGCCCCAAAAAGCCCTACTTTGTCCTCAAGGTTGTTGATATATAATATCACACTAAGGGGTAAAACAGTAATATTTGAATCAAAAGTCTCGTTTTATTAGAAGATAGTTCAGAAAAATACAACTTAAATTAAGGTCGTCGTAGTTTCGACGACCTCGTTAGCAAAAGGAGAACTTGAAATAAAATTGACGATCTCAAAGTTCTTCGAAGGTCTCTCTCTGCTCTTGATTTGCGGATGCCTCGAATGAATGAAGTCCTCCCCTATTTATACGAATTCTAAGGCGGTTCGAGAAAAACTTTCCTTTTCCTTCTCGATATGGGATTTAACATTTTTCTTCCTTGATATTTATGAGTTTGGCGAAATTCATGGACTTTTTAGCTCAGTTCGGATTGAGACCGGAGATAACTTGGTGGGAAAAAACTTTTGGCGTAATTTCCATCTTTAGATCGCTTTCTTGTATAGACTTCAACTAGTACAGGCTTTCTAACGAACCTCAATCCTTTATAAATACTCTTCTTCACTCTCATTTCTTCGTTTCTTCTCCATCACTTAAGGTATAAAGCTCTACCTTCTCTCTAGAATTTTCTCTCTCTACTTTTTTTTTAGTTCGTCTTTTTTTTTTATATATATTTTCTCCCTTATTCTCCGCAAAAACCTGCTCCTATAATTAAGTTCGGTCAACTCAACTATGTGAACCAAACTTTAGTTGAGTTCGGTTTAATTTGGGCGACCATCCTCCTTTTTTATTTCTTCACATCTCCTTAATTATGCCGCAACCACTTTTGACAATATCTCTTTTCCCCTTTCTTTTTTATTTCTAAAGTTGGGCTGAATTAATTCTCACTAAACCCATTAAACCCATTAAACTCCACCGACACCTTTTAATTATGCTGCACTTACTCATCATCCTTCTCCTCCTATATTCCTTCCTTCTTTCTTTAAAATAATTTCAGTCTTTTTATTTAATAATATCGACCTTCTTCTTCCTTTAACTAAATCGACCTTCTTCTCAAAACCAGATCTTCTTCTTCTTTCTTAGTGCCGTACCTTCTCCTTTTTTTTTAATAAAAAAAAAATCCAACCTGTATCTTTATAATGCCGACCTTCGCCACTCTTAAATAATGCTGAGCTTCTTCAATTATTGCAACTAGGGTTGAGTCCGCGCTTCGCATGGATTTTATTTTATATTTGTGTTTTTATATATTTTATATATTATTTTATAAAAAAACACATTGTTTTCTGTTAGTTATCATTATTAGTGTTTTTATATAACAACAAATTTCTCTTAATTATTGTTTTATTAACTTCTATTAATATTTCTATGTGTATATATATATATATATATATTTCTATTAACTTCTAGATTTATTTATAATTTACGTGTTGCACATAATTTTATTTTTTAAACAGTTAATTCATCATATTTGTCTTTTTATTTTTTAATAGACTCATTATTAATTTTTGTATATCATAGTTTGTAGTTTCGTTTTTGTTCTCCTTTCTGATTTTCAACATTTTTGTTCTTTTTATTTTTTTGAA